AGTGGCTCATCAGAGAGATGACAGGTTGTGTCCAGCCATACGACAGGGTTTGTGATGACCTTCCACATGGTCACAGCTTTAAAAACTCTATGAAGTGTAGTTAATCTGCACCATACACAGTCACAATGAATTGAAATTGACTCACTGGCAGCTGATTCTGTTTTGGCTTTTGGTGTATAGAGTTCACACTATTTGGAGGAGAGTTTATATTGCTGCTACTGACCTCAGCACACCTAAAAACCTGTCCCATTACAATGGGCTAGAATCCGATCTGTGGTCCCCAAATGGACTATTGAGCTTACTTCTGCCTTCTGCTGAGAAGCCTCGGTGTCCTGTGTGGAAGCCTCAAGTCACGTTTTGACCTGGTTCTCAACTGGCAGTAGATTCTTCAATGGTGCAGTTATTACTATGAAAAATTGAAGGTTGGTTTTGCTGTTGTTGTTTGGGGGCGGGGGGTTGTGATTAGTGCAATTACAGTGTTTGTTTCATTTGAGCCCTGGCCTCCAAAGAGGCCCTCTTTTCTAAATTTTTTTGAGGCAAGTCAGTCTGTAACTGGAGAAGTGGTGTTAGAAAACAGTATTTAATTAGAGAAATCAGTGCAGTGGATGGAGACTTATTTAATAAACACTGAAAAACTGACTCAAGAAATGAGTGCATGATATGACTCTGAAACTGGCTAAATTATAAACAGAATTTCCAGCTGAGGAAGTAACAAATGGTACTCATTATAGGGAGAACGGAATCCTACCTCTCTCTGAGGGCTGAGATTTTTCAGTGGCATATTTTTTTAAGCATCTATAGCCCTATTAAACCCTGCTATTTTCTTTGTAATTTGTGTCATTTGGAAATGATTTTCATTTAACTTTCCCATGGCTCATTTCTCTCCTTCGTAACATTTTCAAATGATTCCCTGGTAAAGTGAGTGCTTTAACACATTTCCATTTTAAAACTATCACAAGCACCAACTAAAAAGCAATATGAAATTGCCGAACATAAAGGACTGACAGAAGACACAATTGGGCCTCTGGGTAGTTAATTTTTATTCTTGAATGGCCTGCTGCCTTTGTGCCCTTTGTCACTGTTTTTGATCCTGCCGGACAGGGGCTGTAAGGAGGCAATTTTCACCATTCTTACTGGAGGACAGCCTTTCCCCCCCAGAGCACAAACATCACGCAGCACCTCGGGAGGGTTCAGTGATTTGTATTCTTCACCCCAGCCCCTTAAAGGAAAGAAAAGATGTTCATTCCCACTTTGTGTCCTTTGTGCTTTGTAAAATACCCCTTCCATGTTGGATTGCGTTGGCCTCTTTTTTTCTGGAGAATAAAATGAGGGTCATTTAGACTTCTGTATCCCCCTCAAAAATGAGTTTCAGCTCAATAAATACTGAGTACCTCCACCCCCAATGACTTGTAAAATAGAGTCTCTGCCTGACTGATTCTCACAAGTGCATGTTTGTCTCTTTTTGTTAGGTTTGAGTTGAGTTGACTTAAACACATAGTACCAACATTGCAGGTCTGGCTTTGGTTGGACTAGAAGCATATTTAGGTGTGGAGTGTAAAGTATGTTTTCCTGAGTGTGTCCTCAGTATTTTTGAAAGGTACAAAGTAGACATGGAGCAATTAAGAATAAGAATAGTGTGGACGCCGTGTCTGCCCTACCCCACGGGAAAGGAAATCACTCACTGTCGACCCGAGGCTGACTTTTATGTGGCAGAGCCTTATGTATTTCCTCCCTGCCACCGTCTGTACCCTAGCTGGACACCCACCACCTTCCCTCTGCTCAGGTTGACTCATTCTGGGGGCCGTAGGCCGTTACTCTGCCCTACTCTTGCTGCTGCTTCTCTGTGCAAAGCCTTGCAAATGCTCAGCTGGTAGCTTCCCTGTCTGGGTGGCCGTGCGCTTCTTCCCTTTCTGTCTCTGAGATAGCTCACCCAGATATTTAATGGCTGGACAACCTTCACATGAGATTTCCAAAACTTGATTTGCATGCTCCCACCTAGTCATTCTGTGGGTGTTACACACTACAGATAGAAGAGCCACACCATGTAATTCAGCTGCACCACATCCAGTATAAGAGAAGTCACACTGAGAACTTTGAGAATTCACTGGCTCCCCCGGCAACCTAAGTGACACTCTGTCCCACTCTCAGGCCGGGACACGCTGTTATAATTGGGCTCCTTGAAACTGGGATTATACCACAGAGTGCCAATGAAGTGCCACATGGTGTCATATGAAACGTTTTGTGACTAGTAGGATTCCCTTGGGTTTGGAACGAAGGGTAAGGAAGTGTCAGCTAGCTGGGACAGCATGAGCAAATACAGGTGGCAGACATACACACGTGAAGAAGGGATCCAATGGCCCCATGTGACTGGAAATCTCCCAGGGCTACTGAGTTTTACATCATTAGTCAAGTGCAGAGTGTCAGCATATACCTACATAGTACTGTGCTATAGATGTAGATTTCTGGAGCTGAAAGAATAAAAAATTAAACTGGTATGTGAAAGGATGCTCAAGATTTATTTATATCAAGGATAAATAGCTTTTCACCTTCCGACCTCAGGGCTTTATATGAGAAAAAGATCATGTACTTTCTGGCTAGTACTTAGTTTTGTTAGGTGGCATGGAATCAGTGTGACCAGTTACAGTCCCGTGTATAATACAATGAAACATTGTTCATGTCATCTCCATGGTCATGATCACTGGAATGCTGGAGTACATTGCTAAAGTCACTATGTATTCTGTGTGCCTTCTAACACAGAACCCCCCAGCTTCCATCACTGCATCAGACAACATTATAGGATACATAGTGTTTCATTGGCCAAGTTTCAGAGGTGACTTCCAGATCTTTCTTCCTACACTGTTTTAGTCTGGAAAGGCCCTTGAAACCGAACCACCATGAGGACCCTGCAATTATTTGAAACACCGGTGGCGCAGTACCAGAATTATAGTGACATGCAAGCCACCCAGTACAACAAAGTAAAAACTAGATCCAGTCTCAAAAATTTATACCACTTGTTTGCTTTCCAGTTTGTGGGGAAAATAATTTTTTAAAATAAATTTTGTCACCTATTTCCATATTTGTGCAATGTGGTTTAGAATAGAGAACTTCTGCCCCCTGTGAAAGCTCAAAAGCTTTGTTTACATTGTCTGGTAGATACTGAAGAGTTCATAGAATGAGCCCCCCGATCCATCAACCATTGCCATGGTGAAGTCCAGTCAGATAAATCATCTGCTCAGTATTGTGCTATCAGTTCCGTTGAGGTCATGTCTTTTCCTATCTGTAGATTTTTCTCACCTTTAGAAACCTGTGCTTGCTGGTCAGACTTCTCTCTGTTATGAGTTATTACCCCCTCATTCTAATGTAGGTTCTGCCTTCTGACCCTTTCAGTCCATTCTTGTCAGCATTCACAGCAGGAAAAGTGATTCTTTTCTTACTTATGTCCTTACTTTCTTCACACCCATTTCCACTTCCGTTTCCCCATCTCCTTGCATGTGGCCCTCACATATTTTTCACTTTGTGCTTTCTCTTCTTCTTGTGCACGCTCTGGGAGACAGCCAAAAGTAGTTTTTGGAAGTATTTGTGATTCCTAAAATGCAGACTCATAAATAGCCTAAGCTCACTTGGTTTCCACCTAGCATGACCACACAGTACTCTCATCTTTTTTTCTGATCATCCAAGTGCATAACAGCATCCTGGCATTGAGAGAAATCCGCAAACACTGCTGCTACTTGGACAGCACTGCTTAGTCATCAATTACAACTGTAGGTACTAAGAAAACCAGGCCGG